AGGGGACAAAATAGTGCGACCACGGGTGCTCACACGGTAGGTCTTATAGTTAGTACTCGTGAACAAGACGCCAGAGGAGAGTAGGGGCGAGAGGGCTGTCGCGTCAGACGACGAATTTACGCAGGCGTAATCGTAACAAGAAAGACAAACCATAGTGGTTAACTAGTGAGTTATCCGTCGAGGCACGTGGGCGGAGTAAGGAGACTTCGCATCCCCTTGGTAGACACCTTACCCAAAATAAAAAGCAACCTTCTCTCTCTAGATCACCGAAACCTAGACATATCTACCACTTTCAAGCTGTATGTTCAATGAACCCTTAAGAACTAAGGTTTATGATTACGAATTCGGAAGAAACAGTCGGACACTCCCTAAGAAAGTCGTCCGCGATCCATGCGCTGTACTTGGGGATTTCACTTCATTCAAGGAACAGGTAATGCAACTATTTTGTCGCGGGTTGGGCATTAGACCACTGAGAGGTGTACTGTATTTAATTGAGAGCCAGTCGGTCTCATTGACGTGTTGTGAAGACGCTCAAATGTCCGCGGAAACAAAAAATTTTTGAGAAGGACAAAGAAACGTACAGGTAGCGTGTAGACGCGTCCTCGAAGTACGGTTCACCACGGTTATTTACTATCGGATTCCAAACCGTCTTTCCAATATCATTAATCGTTGAATTCATGCTGAACTTCAAGTCCTTGTAAACCCCCCAACCGCTCGGAGGTACTACCGAAACTGAAAGAAAAGGTGTCCCACTTCAGGGACACGTAAGGTGACGAGCTACGGAGTCTAGTAAGGTGAAGAGAAGGTCACTTGTCACGCTGAACCGAGAAGAGTCTGCGTTAGGGGACGGAGGAGGTCGAACGATTTTGGACAGGGGAGCTCCAAGACCGTCTAACAGAAGGAGTAGTGTTGCGAGCTGGTCCTACAGGTAGATTTATGTGACGGTTCTTGACTTCCGAGCGTCCCTCGGGAAGGTAACAGAGACATTTATATCGACCCGACTACGATGAGTTTTCCGTCAGACAACATTACACTTATTCGGATACACGCATAACGTGACAATTCATAAAGAAACTAAGTCAATGTAGGTACTCATAAAGCGACCATACGTACTGTGTACAGGTTGAAACACTCGACAAAGGGAGACAGTCCACGACGTTGACTAGAAAGGATCGAAGTAATGGAAGTCACACGGTTCGAGGAGAAACTTCTGTAAAAGTACAAACGAGTCTGAACGACGTCGCAAACAAGGAGACAGAAGTCCACAAAGTCCTGAGCCCTAAACACAGACTGACTAAGCAAGGGTTGAGTCGTACATAAGGTAAGGAGTCGTCAGGAGAAGGTCGTCCGACCCCGGCAGGGGAAATTGGTGTTACTCCCCGTCCATGGCCGGAAACTACAGAACATAAAGTGAAATTGTTACGTCCTGAGAAGTTCATGGTTATGTCCTGTCGGGATGGCCTTCAGTGACTGAGGCTCCTCTCAGAGGAGAGAGGAACTGAGTGTGAGGGATGGCTGCGTGCTCTGGGGAGTCAGAGTCATCGTACCAACAAAGG